GACCGAATAAAATTTGTAAAACACGAGCCGCAGCCGAAATTGCTACTCATATCAGTGGGGTTGTTATTATGTTTGCGGATCGGCTATCAAGATGATAAGCTATATCATTTTGCCTCTATTTCGTTCCAACTTTTGAGCCCGTAATCAATATATGAAATAATCAGCAGAATCACAAAGTCTACCACAGGAAACCCATCGCGTGAAAACCTTTTCAATTGCTGTTTATCTCACATTAAGAACCTCTGAATCTAAATGTTTTCTTTTGTAATTAAATGCATCGATACTGTCCACTGAATTACGTCATGGAAATATAACTTTTTTTCACGTAAAATAGATATTGAACTAGTCCCTTTGTTYTTTAGATATTATATCATTCCTTTGTTCACTATTGCCTAAGAAACACTATTCAGTCGTAAATATCTACTTGTAAAGTTGAATTGAAAATGGCTTTGCAAYCAGATGGATACATTTAATTATATTTATATAAACATAGTTCCCTTACCCACAACACGAAGGCTGAACGTATGGCTAACCGATCCATGGGTATTTGTCACTTTGCACTTATACTTGCTGGAATCTTCGTAGGTTAGATTAGTAAAATGTAACTTCCATTGAATTCTATTTCTGATTCTCTTGTCATTTCTAAACCATTCATATCTTAAAGGTGGTGTACCAGACGCTTTGCAGTTGAGATCCAASGGTCGTGARATGATGCCAAAAACTCTACCCGAGCCCATGTCATTCACATAAAATGGTTTTGCTGCAACAGGAAAGAAAACAATCATAGGTAAGTCATGGTGATAGARAAGTGGTGGAGAAYSAGGGTGTTTTGATTGCTTGGTGATATCTGCTGTKATAAAAGTCAAATAAACTACAGCAAATTAAGGGAACAAACAATTTGTGAAAACCTTAGTAGATTTGATTTGATTGAGATTAAATAATCATTTGCAACGATGAAATTCCAACACGTTAATAAAGAGTGATGGAGAGCCCGGATAGTTTTGATTACGATAGTGATGACTAACCTTTAATAGTCAACTCTATGACTTTGTTGATGGTTCCAAAAGCGTTAGAAACATTACAAGTATAACGACCAGAATCGCTAAAGACAGTATTCCGTATTCGTAGGGAACCATTCTTTCTGACTTTATACCGCGAAGACTTGGGCATGCCGCCATCTTTAGTCCATGATATTTTAGGTTTAGGGTCTCCAGTCGCAGAACATCGCAATCTTACAGACTTTGATTCTTGTACTTCAAACTTGCGTTTGAGTCCAGCTTTGAACTTTGGTGCTGAGGGATCTAGGAAAGACGACATTTATTTTTAAGACATCATTACCAGTTTTGCGTTTCAAGATTTTATGAAATAGTAAAATGCAGTTGGAAGTAAAGATGAACTTAAGAATAAATTTCTACATAGTTTTCGGGACGACTTCCATAAATCTGGAATGATTGAATCAGTTCTCATATCACAAACATCTGATGTTTTTATTAAGCATTCACTATTCGGATGGCATACTAATATCTTGTGYCCTCATCGTAATTCCGAATATTTTCCGAGTAGGTTTTCGTGATACGATCCTTTTGGACTTACAACTAATGTTTTTATTGGACAGCATCCACCATTCCGATAGCATAGTACTATTTCTGTACTCTTCGTATTACCGAGTACTTTCCGAGTCAGTTTTCGTGATACGAGCCTAGTTGATCTAAAAGCAAATGTTTTTATTGAACAGCATCCACCATTTCGATAGCATACTAATATCTCGTGTACTCATCGTATTCCCGAGTACTTTCCGAGACATTTTTCCGAGCCAGCAAATGTTTTAATTGGACRGCATCCACYATTCCGATAGCATACTAATATCTCGTGTACTCWTCGTATTACCGAGTGCTTTCCGAGCTAGTTTTCGTGATACCAGCCTAGTTGTTCTACAAGCAAATGTTTTTATTGGAAACCATCCACCATTCCGTTAGCACACTAAT